CACCTTGGTAAACCAAAAATAAAACACTTTCTTTCAAACTTTAAGGGTCAGAGTTCATGCTCTAAATCAGGGATTCCAAACGTGTGGTGCGCACATCCTGGCGGTGCATGGGCTTCCACTAGTGGGTGCATGAAATAAAAAATGTGATGGTAGTTTGGAGTGTTTTTCGAGGGTAAATAAACATTTAATTTGGAAAATTTCAAATCAAAGACAGATATTTTCAAGCTGTGTGGCACCTGGAGTGCCTCAACCTGGTTGGGATATAGACGGGAATGTGTGGCCAAAAAAGTTTGGGAACCACTGATCTAATGTACAGTAACAGTACTTATTTCAGTTATTTCACATCTGCTCACAGTCCACAAATATTCTACATACCATCAACTTCCTCCTACGGTCCGTCCAACCCTGACCTGGGTCCTGCACTAAATATATACAAGGACAGAAGCCTGACAGAAGCAGGATGTACGAGTGCGTCTGTGTGTGATATATGGAGCGGTGCTGATTGGACTCATGGTGCAGGGGGAGAGGAAACACACAAAAGTTCAGTGATTTTGTTCATTTACACATCATTATGTGACTTGTGCATACAACCTCCCCCCCCCCACACACACACACACACACAGAGGGATGTTCACACAGACTCAAACACACACACACACACATTCAAGCTCATTACTACTGCCTGTACCATTGAGACAGAAAAGAACAGAACTTAAAAGCAGAAATTGGCCATTTGGGAGAACAAACACAAGTCGCTTGGTCTGCAGCAGTAGAGGAAGGGTTTCTGAAATTATTTTAATTGCTGACAGAACAATGGCAGAATTATCCCTGCTCACACCATGTGTGCCTCCTAAAGAAACCATGAATGCTGTTGCACGCAGCAATTAAGCTCCTTGCAACTCTCATTTTGAACTTGGGAAGCTAGTGTTTCTGCAGCGAGGCGGCGTGTAGGAGCGGCTGCCACCTCCTGTCTTGCAGACACATTTGTGCAGCATCACATCATGTGTTTCCCTTTACAACAGAGACTATTTGAATCTGCCTTCCCCTCTTTTCATCTGCTGTGGCCTTTCACTGCAGAGGCTGCATCAAAGATGATGGAAACTTAAAAGCTCCACTGTTCCCCGGCTTCTCCCTCCATTCTCTCTCTGACAGACAGGCTGGCAGACAAGACAAATTGGTTCCTCTCTAATACTGAAGGGTGCAACTGCTGAATACAGAGTAAAACCACGTTATTAATAGGGATAGGTATGACTTCATGTGATCACTTAATTATCACACCGCAAGTCCAGGCTGTAGAATAGCTACAGGCTGACCAATCAGAGCCAGTCACTAGCAAGTAATTTCACACATTCACAGAGGTAAAATGTTAGTTTATGTTCAAGCTTTTTTTTTGTTTTTTTGTTTGTTTGTTTGTTTGTTTGTTTTTTTTTATAAATCTGCTTGTGGAGCAAAAGCATCAACTCCAGACGAAACAAGACGTTCAACATCTGAGCAAGAAAATGGAACTCAATATTTTATAAATGATTTTAAATGATTCAAACTATCTGTAAATATGAAGTTGACCAATCACATTTCAGTTTTCCTCGTTCAGCCTAGTGTAGGACCCTGCTCTATCTAACGAGTACTGAAATTAAAGCTCCCAATAATCATTTGTTCTGCAGAATCCTGGTCTATGTCTACTCCAGAGCGAAGTTATTATTTGTTTTCAACAACTTCTGCTTTAAATACAGTTGATTTGTCATATATGTAAAATCAGATCTTTTTCTAATCACAGGACGGAGAGACAGGACATTGATGAGCTACTAGAGTGAGACATAAATCAATCAACAACTCGAGCCTTAGGCTATAATCAAACCTAAAATCTTCTGCAACATTTCTATAGATTTATCTGACCGGGTGTTATGAAGCAGATGTTAGAATAATTATTTGATCTACTTGCATGAGCAGCAGGCATCGACTTCACGACATGCCAAATACCACCGAGAGCAATGGCGAGTCATTGCTGCAGAAGGTCAGCAGAGAGGGAGAGAGACTGTGGATCAAATGCGGCCACTTTGACACCAGTGTAACATTTTAATACCAATTCAATAACGACAGCCCCCCAACCCCCCGACCCATGGTTTCATGACCTGAAATGGTTAAACGTAACTCAACTGCTTGGCTTTATTGTCATTACATTTCATTTACATTACATCTCCCACCCATCACCCCCGCACTATAAACCTACACACACACTCGCCTCACATTACTCAATACAACGTCTGAGGTATGTGGCAGCTCCATTCAGACGGACCGCAGGGTGCTCCGCCATTCGTCTGAGGCTCTCATCTCAGCTGGAGGCTGAGCCACAGAGGGCTAACAGCGCAGACACAGCTCCACCGACAACAACAACAACAACAACATCAGCTCCCTGACATAACACACACAGACGCACACATTCAACCTCTCCTTGAGACGATTGGTGCTTTTGCAGCGAACACAGTGGCTTCACACTGGGCAGGGCGCTGAGCCTGCTGACTCCACTCTCACTTCTCATGTGGCTCACACAGGTCCGCGTCAGGGCGCTTTACCACAACAGACTCGCTCACCACTCCGGGAGGCTTGGTCAACAAACAGAGTGTAGCCGTTATTGAGTGAGTCGTGTTGGGTCTCCTAGCACTCCTAGTGCTATAAACATACTAACCCAAAATGACTATAAATGTACAATATGTTGACTGTTAAAGTTTTAAAATTATATTTTTCGATGATATTCATCTTAATAAAGGACAATCAGATAATATGCAGGTCCTTTTTGAAATAAATTTGAAGACTTGGCAGAGGTCAACGTAAAAGGCCAATGAAACAAGGTGAAATTGAGACGAAACCCCTTTACAGGAACTCCAAGCTCAGTATTTGGCAGCTTTGCCTGGATGAAGCTACAAAAATGACCTTTATTCAGTCAAGAAACAGACCATCAAGAGTTGTCTTTGTGCCAACAGACCAAACAAAAGGGAAAATACTGTAGAGGCAACACATATGAATCGCTTTATACTAAAAGATCACAGCGTTCTCAGACGAAAATCGGACTTTTTTACCACAGAGGATTATTCCTTACCTTCTGCCGTTATACATATTGCAACTCTTATTTCCATCAACTGAATCTATTCTTTTGTTGTATTAATCATCATGTTATGATTTTTTCTATGCTATATATTGCTTTCTGCATAAAGGAATCCAACTGAAAATGTCCTCCTTAAATAAATATGAGCTTTGGTAGCAGCAGGAAATAATACATCTGGAGGTACATCCACAGATAGCAGCGAGGGAGAAAGAAAGATCTCCTGGAAGAACAAATTAATAATAAAAGACTCTAAGAATAAACTAGGTAATTAGGTTAGAGGCGGCTTAAAGCACACGGAGCAGCTCTGTTGTAGACTCATTCTGCTTCATTTTGGGTTGAAAAAAATAAAAAATAAAATAAACAGCGTCTGCAGTTTTACAGGAAGCAGTATGTTCTATGGTTATTATGTCAAATTGGAAGTGATGCACAGGGTCTCTGTCTTATCACCGCGTCCCAGCACAGGAACATCACTGCACACATGCACACTTAGAAGAAAGGGGAAGACGTCTTTCTTTCCAGTGACTCTCTGCGCATCCAGCTCCTGCATCATATTTCTTTGTGCAACACACACGTACACACACACTCTGATGCACACACATATTCTCACAAGTTCACCCCCAAGTGAGATAAGAAGAGAGAGAA